TTAAAGGTTTTGCATTACACAGAACTTCGCAGGACTCAGCACTTGGTTTAAAGGTTTTGCATTACACAGAACTTCACAGGACTCAGCACCAGAATAAATCTGTGTTATTTAAACTGTCAGAGTAAGTTTTTCACAGTGCACTATGTTAAAGTCTTCTGAGCAGCTGGTCATCACTAAATAGGAAATTGTCAGTCAGGCAGATTGGATCTTTTAGCACACGAGGTTTTTTACCCCGGGGTGTGGTTATAATGCTGCCTCCACAGCAGTAAACTTCTTTACTGGCCCCAAACATTTATTGTAGCGGCCCCCCTTTTACAAACTGTGGTTTATAATGTAGTGTGATCTCTGTCCTGCGGCTCTTTTACATCAAAAGGCCTAAATGTCTTGCCATATGCAACACATTCCATGCAGACTTCTCAGCAGGGCGTCTGTGGACGTGCTTCGTATGAGGCTCATTTACGGTGGCGGTCTGTACTCTGTTCACTACATGAAAAGTGAGCCACTTAGCCAGGTGTAGGCCTAATGAAAGCAGCTCCCTGTTCTGCCATACATCACAGCTTTACATCCATGTATTCATTTAGAGCAGCAGAGACACAACCAGTTAAACCGTACATTGTATAATGCAGTATGTAATGGAAAAAGTTACATTAGTTGTACATATTAGGTTTGTACAATTATATGTATGTATGTATAACCAGGCACAAATCATAATCTTAGGTTATTGTTAAGTAGAGAAGCGCAATGAGTTGAAATTTAACATGTCTTTATTTCATGCCACTTATTTGTGATTTCATTTTCAGAAGGAAATGCAATTCTGCAGGAATTACAGTAGTTAAAAGTGATTTAAAGCAACGGCAGTGCACGTATGGGGGACGAGAGGCTTCGTAACGGTCCTGTCAGCAAAAATGGAGGGCGCTTCAGAAAAGGTTTGTGAACCACTCCCTCACAGTGACATAACTCCATTGTCCTCTATTGTCTTTCATGTGTGAAAAGGCTTTAATTTGGCTCAAAATATTGTTTTTTATCACGCACTGGTTGTGTCGCCTGTGTCTTGATGACATGTTTGAAAACAGCACTTTGTGCAGAAAAGAAAAACAAGGAGACGGGCAAATTCCTCTCTGCTGGAATGTAGAATGATTGCAGGCTGTTTATCACCAAGAAAACAGTCTTTATTTATTACAGTGGAACACCGTTTATATACTGCTACTGTCGGCCTCCAGAGACTGGTTATATAAGAAATGGAAGCAGCTCTGTGGTTTCAAAAGTGAAGCCTGGACAAGACTGGAGATTGGTACAAACTCTTGACTAGACCTTAAAGATGCACATGCAGTGTGAATGTGTTCTAACCACTCACAGATCCATTGTTTTAAAGTCAAAGTACGGAGACCTCACAAAAAATGCTGTTGACTCTTGGACAACAAGTTTTTATGAGGCTGTGTTATATATAACTATGTTATATGGGTCTGGAATCATTGGGATACAAACACTGGGACACACAGTGTAGTTGATGCTGCAACAATGAATAAGTGAACCAGCTGATGATTAAATGGATTATGACCAAACTTATGTTTTTGGCAGTAACTTAGATACAACCTCTGCTTCTGAATGACCAAAAAGGGAATATTATTTAAAGTTGTTTTTTTTTTTCACAATATTATTTAAAGTTGTTTTTTTTTTTACCAATCTTTCTCAGTTTCCTAAATGGCTTCAATAATGTTCTTGTTTCATTGATTTGCTAAAGCAATTTAACCTTTGTTTTTTTTTTTTTTGACTTGACATAATGTCCAGCTCATTATTAATCTTAATTTTAGATCATATTATCCTTTTTTCACTTTTTCTATTTTCCTTTAACATGTATTTAGTCCAGTCTGAGGATGTGGAACAAGCATGTTCGTACAGTTCTCCTCCTGACCTCTGACCTCATAAACTGCCAGGAAGGCTGCTCTGCTGTGCATTTCCAGACCCCTTCACATTTACCATGGTGCACAGCTTCCACACACTGCTTTATGAGAAAACGCCGGCCCTGCAGAAATCAAATAAATGTGGCTCCAGTTTTAGCGTGCATCTTGAATTAGTCTATTCTCTAATAATTCCAGTTTAATTTTCCTTATGCCGGCCCTTTGGAAAAACAATCTTTTCGATGACAGTGATGTTTACTGAATGATTGAGTGTCTCCAGAGCAGTGATGGATGATACTCGCACCGCTTCATACTGCATTTTTGTGTGGAAAGCAAACCAACCATTTACTGACTAATAACATACAATTTCCTTTCATAGTTGTCCTACTTTCAGGCTTTAAAAAATAACATCCTAAAAAGTCGTCAATGGCTCCAGATGTTGTGGAATTCTTAAGAGCCCAAGGATTCCTTCATATATGCTATGTTGAAAGTACCAGCTTGTATCGTGCTCATTTCTTCGACTGCTTCTGAACGGGATTGTAGGTTTGAGTGTGTCGGGGAACACCTGTTAGAGGCGTAATTACACATATGATGGGCAGCGGCCCCATATGCTGTCCTCCTTTAACAGGCTGCAGATGGTACAGGAGAAGTGATGGCTGGATGAAGGACTCTTATAAATATCTGGATGACACTCTGTACCCGACCATGTACTCCATCTGTTGAGTTGTATAAGAGTGTTTCCTGTTGCATCTTGAATTTGAGCCTTAGTTATGCAGCAACTGTACTTGTATGTGTTGACATTCAGTAAAATGGACTGTTTTTACACTAACAAACAGATTAACCAGGAACAGATTTTGGAATCAAGTATAGGTGTCTACTAGGGATGATACTTACATTCAAATACTGCACTGGGAAATGCACTGTTGGTCAAAATGCTCTGCGCACTGGGAGTTTAGCTGGTGTTAGCTGGTGTTAGCTTTTATCTTAGGTGAGTCTGTCAGGCAGGAGGAAAAGAGGAGGAACTCTAAGAAGATTCATGGACATAATAGTGGAGAGTGGGGGGTGGTGGTGGTGGTGGTGGGGGTTTTGGTACAGCGGTAGAGGACGCTGGATGATTTGAGACCAATGTCTGTTGTGCTGATCACTTCAGGGAAGCAATCAACGAATGGAAGAAGTACGAACAATGTCTTTTTACAGGAATCTACAGGCAAAGTTTTCAGCATCACAACAGCAGGTTGTGCAAATATCAAAAGTGTTACTGAGTTTTTTATGTGTTTGACACATCTGCTTGCAGTCTAGATCTAAAATGATTTGTTCGAGGTGTAAAAAAGTGTTTCATCACCATCATTTTTTTTTTCGTGCACACCATGAAAGTTGAAGCAGTATTCATTATATTCAGCACACACAGAGAGACACTAACGAAGCACACTGCTGTGGTGGAGGCCAGAGCTGTGAGGATCAGCAGATCAGTTTGTCTGCTGTGTGATCCTGAACTGTGCCACGTGTAGCCTTCACTGTAGAGACCGCAGTGCTGTAGTATATGATGTGTGACCCAGACTTTTTTATTGTCAAAGTATCTCCTTTGAGGATGATTTAAAGTATATGATTCCACAAATATTGGCCTGTATGGGAAATTATATTTATTCTACTAATATAGATTTCAGTGTCTGTTCCTACAGGATCATCAGTATCTGTGATTAAAACTACAGTGGATCTAAAGCACCATCTGTTCCTGATTACCTCCTACCCTCTGCTGTCTACACTCAGCCAGTTTGTATCATGTCTCCTCTCACAGTTGGTGATGACTCAGCTTTGACTATTAACAATATATATATATATATATAATCAAGAATGTGTGTTACAGTGACGGACCAATATAAAAATGCTGTCTTCAACCAAGTAAAATGGTCATCATAGGAGTTTAAGTGTAATTGTCAAACAAAGGTTAGAGTGAACTTTTGAATTTTTTTTCAGCTACTGCATTTTGAGGTAGTTGTACTATTATTTTCTGGTGATACATTGTGGTCAAAAAAGTCATTATATCATTGTTACAGTGTCAAGCACTGAGCTGTATTAAATTTTAATCAGGAATTTCTACCGTTTGAAATCGAACTATTTTAAGAAAGGAGCAAAAACCAAAAATTTAAACCAATGGAAGAAAACATCTTTTATTTTTTTATTTTAAAAGTCAACGGCGTGGAGACATTGCGTCACCACACCTGATGAACCTAAATTCCAAACCTGTGAGGGAAGAAGCTTGGTGCTAAATGACACCCTGTTAGTGTTCCTCCACAGCAAGCAGTCTTTCAGCTCACTTCTCTTAATTACAGGACCCCTATTGGTTAAACGGATAGCAGTGCAGGAGCCAATCCCTGCTCATCTAACAGCATGCCATAGGTCTATGACATGCCTGGTGTTTTTAATGATCTGGGGGGCTCCTTAAAAATGTTTCCCTGCTCGTCTGTCCAATACAGGAGAGCACGGAGGTACACAGTTTACACCGCTCAGAGCGCAGTGCAGCGAGGCCCCCCCTCATCAAGAACCTTGGTCCAGAGAGCTGCTGGATCCAGAGGTGATCTCAGTAGGACACAACTACAGCACCCCTGCAGGTAAGCACTAATGTCATGGACACTTTCTGCAAAGTTAATTTTCCTCCTGTGATTTTCAGAGTTTGCACACAACATATTTCATGGTTTAGTTGCTTCACCTATTTCATCATCATGTCATTTTCTTTCATGTGAAATTATGTTGTTTAGATCATTATCAGAAAGAACATGCATTTGATTAACTGTAGCTTTTTTTACCCCTTTTTTTTCAATAATATTAGCAATGTTTTAATTTGTATTGTTGTTTTGGTTGCAATGCCTTTGAGTGATTGAGTAGGTCATAAAAATCCTGTTAAACACTGCACTAATGTATATTCTTATTTTTTTTACGCAGAACTAAAGTGTCAGTAGTCTTTATGAGAGAGTGTAATTTAATCTTTTTTCTTTGGCGTGTTGTTAATGTTCTTGTCCAATTAATTAATTCAGAATCTGAGAAATTCCAAATCTACAAATAAAAGCTTTTTCACTCATTGAGCAACCAATTATTTATTTAAATTAGTTATAATATGATTTACCAGCAAGGGTTTATGGCAGAAATGACCTTTTTGTGTTTGTTTTTTTTAATACAGGAAGAATATCGAAACGCAAACATGGCCCGTGTGACACGACCCTCCTTCAGTCTGATCCACACAGGATTACTGTTAGTGATGGTCCTTCTACCAGGTGAGTCTGAAATGACAGAAAATACTGACATGATGTGAATCGTTGTATCTTTGAAATAAAGCTGTGGGTTGTAGAAAGTTAGAGTGAAATAAATGTGGGCTCAAATATCTTGTTGTTTTCTAATTGGTAAAGGGGTTTAAACCTATTAAATTGTTTTTTGGCTCATTAGAATTTTCTACTCTTCCATATGAAGGAATTTAACTACAGACCTTTCTCATTTAGTGTATTTAAATCACTTATGTAAGAGAAGGACTGAAGTATTTATGTGTACTCTAAACTTGTAGGACAAAATTTTTCTTTTATTAAAAAAAATGCTAGTAGCCATTTCTATTTACCCCCTCATCTATACACACACACACATATACCACCATAACTGCTGTTTTATAGTGTATTAAAAATAAGGTTGTGTGGGGGCCACCTCTTTGTAATTTTATAGGCTAACTTTGAGGAGGCTCCTCCAGCTTGCAAAAACTCCACAGGTGGGGAGGGGAGTAGAGGGTGGTGTGTTAATCTGAGGTATACAGCCCTGTGCCGGGGCGCCAGAGCTCCAGCACCTGCCGGGCTTCACCTAAAGGCTTTATTAAGAGCTCAGCATTTTTTGCCTGATGTTGAGGGAAGCTCAACATCTGGTTCGAGTCAACACATGTCCGTGCTGCTGTTTAAGTGGCTGCTCCCTGTCTTTCACAGAGTTTCTGGGGGCGGTGCCAGTGGAGCAGCACAAGGAGGAGGAAGGTGAGCAGCATCAGAAACACGTGAAGAATATGTGAAGAAATTAATGATGATAATAATAGTAATAAATAACAATGTAACCTAATCAAAGTTAATAATTGAATTCTCAGACTAAAACATTTGTCTCGACTTCTCTCCTCTCTTTTACCAGTGACTGCATCAGAGGATGTGAAATCACTTGTTCGTAACAGAAGGAACCTTCCTTTCGTTGCTGTGCCACAGTTCAAACGCCTTCCTGATTTCTGGGGATGGTACAAGTACTTTGTTGACTCAAACAACCAGGAAGGAGTAAGTGAATTTGGATTATATCGATTGTTTTTCTTGATATTTTTAGTCTGTTGCTTGAAAAAAATTTAGCAAGGAGACAAAATTGTGCAAATCATAACTTTTTTTTTTTGTTCCTTAGGTTGAGGATTTGGACCGTTTGTACATGGCCTACCTCCAAAACAAACACAGGTCAGAGGAGGGGCCCACATTCAACCACTACCTCACTCATCTCAGTGAAATCTACAAGTCCTGTGCCGATTCTGATGATCCAGAATGCATCTCTGAGTCTACTAGTAAGCCTAAAGCTGCAGTAGTGATGCCGTCCTCCATCAAGTCTGCTGCAGTCAGAATGTGCAACCCCTACATCGACCCCTACTGCCTCTTTCCTCTTGCCCCCAAAGCCGCAGCTGCAGCTCCAGAGCCTGAGAAGGGTGCAGCCAAGGTTCCAGCACCCATTCTCACTCCCATGCTGCCCATGCCCATGAAGAGCTCCACCGGCTTCTACTACTATGCCCCTGTACTGGAGCCCTTCCTGAGTGCCGAGCAGAAGGCAGAGCTGGTGAGAATTTGTAACCCAGAGGACGTGGAGTGTCTTCAGTACCACCTGAGGGCAGCTTATGGGTATCGCCCAGCCGCTGGCCCTGCTCCATCCTATTCTGCCCTCAAGTGTGACCCCAAAGACCCCTACTGCATGCCAATACTGGTCCAGAAGGCACCAACTGGTTTCTACCACATGATGTACCCCACCTGTGACCCCGATGTTGATCCCCTGTGTGTGTCCAACGCCGCAGCTCCTGCTCCCATTGAAGCAGGTCCTCCAAAGGAGCAACACTGCAACCCTCTGTTTGATGCTGGCTGCAACCCTCTGAGTGCCACCAGGTTGTCAGGCCTGACCAAACCTGTCCTGGAGTACCCCATCAAGAGTGCCCCTGCACCCCCTCCAGTTCCTCTGTCCTGTGACCCTCGCTACGATCCATACTGCATTCTGGCAGCGGCCGCTGCCCTGCGCAAGCCTGCACCACAGATCCCCGAACACCAGGTCTGAATTTGTAGTCCTGCTCTTAGTACAGACTAGTTTAATGTTTTGATTAACCTAATGTAATCCTTCTTGCTAAGTGGGTTTGTTAATTGTTTCGTTCTTCATTGTGGTTTATTAAATATTGTACAAAAATAATTTGGTGTTTTATAATGCTTTCACTAGTTATCTTTGATCTGCTTCTTATTTGTTCCGATCCAAAAACACAAATCAACTGCTCAACCAGGTCCGCTACCAGCTTGGCATCCGTGGAAAGACCAAGGAGGGCCACGACTGCTATGTACACTATGACAAAGACTGCATCCCAGTGAAATCTGGCCCTGAGGCCAAAGCTGACATCAAGGGTCAAACATCGCTGTCCTGCCATCCGTACGATCCCAACTGCTTTAAATTCTCTTCACCCTCAGCCCTTGTGGCCTCAAAGCCCAGCAAGGATGGCATAATTCTGCCTGACCCTGACTGTGACCCAGAGTTTGACTACAACTGCCGTCTACGTCGGTCAGAGCCTGCCGTTGCAGATGAGCCTGCCGCTGATGAGCCTGCAAAGGAGACACCTGTTCCACAGTCTGCAGTCCCACGTTTTGAAGACTTTCTCAAGAGTGTCATGAATCAGTAGAGGTAGATGTTGGTGTAACAACTTCAGCTAAAGTTGGCTGCGATGTCTTGCTGCCTAGGTTTGCTGGACTTTATGGACCCCGCTCTTTAAACCTCATGAGTTTATTAAAATCAACTTACGTTTCCATGAAATCTGAAGGTGTTTTTTCATGTGTTTGTAAGGGAGATGATAAAAGACAACTAAGCAAAAACCAAATTATATGTAAAACCCTTTGTGTATTTATGTTTGTAAGAAGAAAAAAAATCATGTATAGATGTGAGATAGAGTAAGGTGTAGTGGGATTATTTGTCTTCCCCTGTTTGTACATTTTCTGTTTCTGTTTGAGTTAACCTTAGTGTATGTAATGTTGATATTTCTCACAACTCTCTTTTGCTATTAACATCACAGCTTCTCACTTGATTTTTTTTATGAAGTTTTGAATAAACATAAATAAAATATGTTGTTTTTTCGCATAAGTTTAACCAATGAGAATAAAGGTTAAAAAACACGTTTAGTAGTTGAAACACAACTTGGTACAACACTTTCCTACCTTGTAATCACACATTTTCTAGAAACATTATGACATGTGTTTATAATTTGAAACACTAGGTGTCAGTAATGCGATTCGATGAACAATGAGACAACCTGACGAAAAAGAAGAGAGGTAAGTGTGCTAACCCAGCTAGCAACAGTTTAGATTTAGGAAGTTTTAAAATAAATAGTGGTGTCATGAAGCGTAATTTTATATGATACTTTTCCTAACAAGACACCATCATGGATGTCATTCGAGCCAGACATGAGAACAAGAACACTCTAGTCTTCCTGTCTGTAAAGTTTGTAAAACGTAGATGCTAACTTCCGTTTTTCTATTGCCGGAAGATAAATACAAAGAATATGATTATTATAATAATGATAACCATGTTTTCTGCTGTTGGGAGCTTCAACTTTATGTGTATGTTATCCTGTCTGCTTTATGATGTTTGAAAACCCATGTTTTACTATTAAGCCAGATGAAACTGACGTCTCCTAAGTAAATACAACGCCCGGGTTTATCTATGTAATTTAACTCCCAGCAGGCGGTGCTATTCAGTTGTTAAGCAGTCAAGTGCAAAGTGCAGTTCTGTCCCCTGTGAATTTGGAGAAACATCCTTTGCCATTAGATTTTCCCATAAATGTTTCAGGTGAAAAAATAAGATTTGATTTTTGAAGGATGGCAGAGAGAAGAGCAGAAATCAAACAGAGGAAAATCAAGAAGAGAATGATGGGAAGGATGTTTGCAAATAATTTCATGGCTGTGCACAGAATAATTACCCTGTGTTGGAAACATAATGGTTTTAGGATGAGTGCCTTTGAGCCTGTCTTAACAGAATGCAAGTTTATGGTGTGACAATATAAGCGTGTACCTCTTTATTATATTCTCTTCCACTTCATTTATTATAAGTTCTTTGTCAACATACAAGCTTTCTTTTTTCTTTTTTTTTCTTTTTTTTTTAAAAAAAAGGGTTTTATTAAGGTTTTTGTTTATTTGGTCTTTTTAATGTTACCTTTAGGCTTTACTGTTGCTTCCTCAGGCATATCATTTAATAAGATGAGCCAAAACTAGTAAAATATCTTTGACCTTGTTTCCTATGAAAGTGTGATGTTGTGGGGATGCTTCAGTGCTTCTGTATCTGTCAGTGACAGTAGAAGTGGAACATTAACACATTTTAAAATAACACTTACCTGTATAGTATACAATGGATTGTCTTGTTTTATCTTGGAATTGGAGCATAGAAGCTACACATTGGATGGGTGCTTCGTGACCTTGCCTTACAGTAAGAAGATCACTGGTTTGATCCCTGTGGTAACTGATGCATGATTAGGTCAAGTAGTCATTAGACATCTAATATGACCGTACTGTAGGCATACGTCTGAGTGTGAATGGGTGTTTGCTTCTTGTGAATTATCCATTGTGGTTTTAAACTGATCTTTTTATGACCGTACTGTAGGCATACGTCTGAGAGTACATCAAAGATAAATCTTTGATGTACTGGTGGTGTACTGTCAAGTATGTCGTTGGTGTTTCTGTATTGTGCTCCGTGGGTTTGTTGTTTTAGTGATATTGAAGCTTTCTACGTATGTGACATGTTTAAAATGTTTAAACTCATTAGTGGCTTCAGACTGCAAATGCCTTTATGCCTGTGCATCTTGTGAATTTTTTTTCAAACACCAGTATTCAAACAACTTCCTTTTTGACCAGTTGCGATTCTTTTTTTTTTTTGTCCGGCCACTGTTAGAAGTTGTCATCACTTCAGTGTTTTACCGTGTGTTTAGACTTTTTTGCAGGAAGTGGTTCCATCTCCTAACAATCAGTCGTTTCTTACATAAACTCTCATAACAAAGAGTTTATTGATGCTTCTCTTCTAATCTAATCAATGTTGGCTGGCCTCCTCTACTCTCGTCTAGTCTTTCAAATGCAATCCAGCCTTGAATAACATTGAGTTGCCCTGACAGATTGTCATCAATCTGAGCCTGTAAGGTGACTGTGCCAACAGAGATGAGACCCATGGGTAAACCTGAAGTAAATCTGAAGACACCTGCGGCTCATCAGTGCCAACTGACAACACTGAGCCAAACCGGGACACAGACAGAGAAAGAGTGCAGGAACAATGCAAAGCTGCGGCTTATGTTGATATTTACACAACGATATAGTGGGCAGGGGGAGCAGAGCGGGAGAGTCAGAGACAAATACACAAGGACAGATGGAGACTTAGAAGTAGACTGACAGGAGAAGGAGAGAGAAAATGAAAAAAAGGAAATTGACAGATGTATAGAAAAACAAACAGTGGGAGTTGAGGGTGAAGATGTCAGATGCAACCTGGAGGTGTTGGTGGATAATGAAGTTTTAAAAAAAACAAAAAACAGAGGAGCCCTTTATTGTTATTCAGCTGAAGCTCCTCTGGGAGGTGTAGACAACAGTTTCAGCTGACTTCCTGGGAGCACATTTTCCTCCCTTAGTTTCGGCCTTGAATTCTGTGTGGGAGAAGTAGACGCTTGGCTAAGGTTTGTGCTGACTGTGGCTCAGAGAGACCTTCACCCTGTACCACTGGAGATGGAGGGAATATAATTTAATCCAATCAAACTCAAATACCCTGTGTTGTACATTAGATGAGCCTTGGCACAGCTGTGCCCCACTGTAGCCCTCTGACAGTCTGTACGGCATTCTTTGGATTCAGCACATGGAGGCTGGCTGCAGTCTCTTTCATCAAAACTTTAAAATGAGAAGCTTTGTTTAATAACTCATGTTTTGAAGTTACATTTTAAACAATAATCAGTCTGTCTGCAAGCTGCAGAACAACAAACACTTTTTCTTGTGAACTGTGAATTAAATTGTTATGTCAGAAAGATTCAGCAGCATGCGGGTTGTTTGCTACTAAAGCTCTAATTAAGACTGTGTAGCATAGGCATCAAACCAGGGCTGTAAACATTTAAATGAAGCTTCATCATTTTTTTGCCACTGTTTTGACAAATGAGTGTGGCCTATGCTAAGAGCCAGTTCCTCTTGCAGTAGTTATTACTTTTACTCCCAACAATTGGGATTAAGAATTAGATTTGGAAAATAAAATACAAAGCACATTGAAAAATAATAAGAGGTGTGGACGTGTGTTCCAGGAACAACCAACAGGAGCAGTACTTTACACACAGAGCTGATACAAACACGGCCCATCACTGTCTGCAGCCTTTTAAAGTCCACAACGCATTTACTCAAGGTCGGCAATTTGCTGCAGCGATGTAGAGAAGAAAAATGGACAGAGTTGAGATGACATGTTCTCTGTACAACTAAAACACCCTAATCTTTCTGAGGGAACGATAACAGGAAGAACCATCATGTTGTTCCCTCTGCATTTCTGCGACTCTAACCTTGGCCCTTCATAAACAGCACCATGACTTATTCACTGCCTGTGGGATAAACAAATATTGTCTGTCTGTCCTTTGGCTCTTAAATGGATGGTTTGTGGTTTTTTCAACTGTGGCTGTGTGAATAATAAATCTTGTCCACAGTGACTTTTCTGTTAAAATGGAATGTGGGGATGACAGGCTGATTATTTTGGCTGTGAGGTGTTGTCGTTTTTTTTTTGTTTGTTTTTTTTTTTTGCAGGAGGGGGAATTAATGGTAGGATGTAATTTTTCCCCAAATAGATGTTTGTGCTTTATATTGAAATTAATAGAAATTCATGAGGAAGGTTTGAATGTTTTTACAATAACAGGCTGAAACATTTGGAAATTTGGTAAACTTGTTGTTTAAATGAAAATAATATATTTTGCCTGAGTAAAAGGGGATTGATTAAAAATAAAAAATTATTTATATATATATATATATACAATGTGACAACAAACAACAATTCATTATGGGGAGATAGATATGAATTAAGGGGATAGTAATTTTTTTTATGGGTTTGACTTGATGTCACAAACTGTATGGCGTATAAGGAAGTAGTCATGACCTGTCTGTACTCCCTGCAGCCCTCGTTAATCTTGTGTTGATGTTGATCCTGATACTGTCACTTGAATAAACATACAGACTGTAAAAATAACAAGAGCTCCGAGTGGATACGATCTAACAAAATTACCCACCTGTTGCCAGCTGAACAAATACACTGTGGATGTAAAGAATTGCTCTGCTCTGTCCCCGTGTTTGATCATCAGCTGTGGCAGCAGACTAGGAAATGAGCAGCCATAGGAATGTGTCCCATGAGCCTTTGGTGCATGCAGTAAATAAGCATGTAAATCAGTCTACATCCTTATCCTCAGTCAACCCCGCGCTGCTACTTGTTGTTACTGTTGATTTATTAATGCAACTTACAAATNNCCCTGGGTCTGATTTTTCCCTACGGGAAAAAGAGGGAATTCGCAACCAGTCCACCTCCCATTCTGGCCACTACCCGGGTCACCACCAGGTCAGTCTAACAGAATCTGATCAATAATTCAAACATCCAGCTGTAGGGCTGGGACCAGGCAGTGAGAAAGCACACAACACTGAAGTCCAGCCTGGCGTTCAGCTCAACATCAGCTGCCTGTGGGGAATGGACCAGTATGACCTTACATGAGCAGAAAGGGACAATCGAGGAGCACTGTTACTGCAGAGCTTGTTTAGAGGGACAGTTTTGAGCCCATTTAGCAGAACATGTTTATGTAATGATGCATAATTTAAAGGAATTATTCCACATTTTAATTTGGTCTTCAGTGTAGTTGTTTGGTCCCACCAGAAGCCAAGGAAGTGGCAGTCAACCACCAGAGGGTGATTTTAATGGATCCAAATCTGTCATGAAGTCAGTTTCTTTAACATACTGGAAAATAGACCATAAATCAGAGCAGGTAGGAGCAGAATTTAGTGAATACCATTGACGTCTACTCTCAAATCTGTTGAGTTAAGAAGAGGGGCTTCCCTCTTCAGACAGAAGCCCATTTCCAGTTCCTTAATGATGTGTTTATGTTAATAACCTATTCATTTATTTATTCATTTGACTCTTGCCTTATTATGCTACTGTGGCTTTTTTATTATTATGCCTGACAAATGAAGAGAGTGTCAATAACTACAAAGTAAATACATGGGACAGAAATAGGTTAGGGTACAAGGACTGGTGCTGTAGGAGGTCAGAAGTGGCAGAGATGTACATGAGGGTGGTACAGGTACATCAGCACCTTCAGACAAAGTTGAGAGGTGCCCTCAGCAGCGATGGACTCTGGATTACTTTAGCAGGCAAATCTGAGCTGCTGCTACTTTACAGTGGTGATGGAGGGAATGACAGATTAAATCAGGCAGGTGTCTCTGTGGACCATGATGTTCACAGATAGTAAACTGCAATGACAGATGGAGGAGAGCCAGAGAGGGGAGGGTTGACGCTTATGAGAATATTGGTTGAAACATGACATGTGCTAGAATAAAACAGAAGCAGGTGAAAAGGTGAAGCCGCAACGTGTGGAGGAAGTGACAGTGGATGAGGTCAAGTACATGGGTTCAATAATTCAGAATACACAGTCAGCACACACAACAGGCGGTGAAGAGGAGGCAGCAGGATGTGGATTGTTTGCTGTTCATGATAAATTGAATTTAATGTATATTTTCAATGGTTGTATAAAACGGGAGATGATGTTTCCGCTGTCGTTTTAACGTACTGTGAGACGGGGTCTCCAACGCGTAGCTTGCGAGCTGTTTTAATTTATCCGCTGTTGTTTTAACGTACTGTGAGACAGGGTCTCCAACGCGTAGCTTATTTGGTCAGTATTTATGTACAATAAAGTTTAAAGTTTAATAATAGCACATTCTCAACCCAATCAATAATAATAACGTGAGAGTAAAGGAAAATATCAAGAATTCATAAAAAGTGTAACATTTTACTCATTGTATTATTTTGATAATTCATTCCTGACTTAAGTTAGTGGTCCTTGTATCTAGTGGTAAGAGAGTTAGTCTTGAATCGATGGTTTAATTGTTGTCTCTTGTGTTTTTTTAATGTTGACCAAATAAGCTCCCTTTTTTATTTTATTTTCTGCAAACTGTCGCCGTCTAGTGGCCACAGATAGCATAACCAACTGCACTCTAGAAATGTTAGGCAATCATCATGATGGATATAAACGCAGCATTCACACTGTGCGGTAGCGAACTTTAGTCTTAGTTTAGCTTTAGTTGCACGGATATTAAGCAGTGGCAAAATTATGGTTTAAATAAAAAAAAATTATTAAGAAATGCGGATGGTTGATGTATAAGATAATGGATGTATAATGCTAAAGTACTTTGATGATTTTATGGCTGGAGGCTAAATGCACTTTACATCCTTAACATCCTGTTTTCTCGCAAATGATCATTTTGTAAGAGAGTTTTATGTTCCATCCCGGCTGCTCTAACAATTAGTTACATAACGCCATCTACAGTATGTAACATCAAATAGTGTTGGACTTCATTACCAGAGTCAGGGTCACAGGTGATCTATCCTTTCTGCTGTTGCTCAAAATCAGCTGTAGAATTCATTTTAAATTCACATTTTTTAAAATAAATCTAACACATGAATAATATTAATTTTAAATTAAAAAATGTTTCACTAAATTAAGTGGCATTTTACAGAGATGACCTTAAGTGTGAGTGCACCATGTTCTCATTACATGGATAAAATTATATAAGCACTTTAACATTTTAGTAGTAATGCTCATTACAAATGAGTATGAGGATGCACTGGAAGCTTTTGGCGACTTCAGGGCATCTTAAATCCTCACCAGGGGCGGGGTTTAAAAAACCCCCCCCCCCCCCCAGAGTCTCAACCAGGAGGAGAGGGAAATAAGCATCAGTCTTCTCATCAGTCACATTAATCAGGAGCCTGTGTGCAGTCTTCAGAGAGCAGGGAACAATCAGGTCTAATGACTCAGAGTACAGTGCACACTACGTGCCTAATCGAACTTTAAACACTGGTGAAAGACGTTTCCTGCAGGAGGGTGGGAGCAACAATAACACCAGGTACTCATTACTTTTCATGTCACAAATGGGATGTTTGTGTTGTGTTACAACCAATGCAACCACCCCAAAGAATTACATTCAGAAACATTTATTTGTTAAAGAATGGGGGACAAAACAAATACTTCTGCAAGACAGAGTCAACATTCGAAGTCTGTTCTCATGGAGTGGACACTTTCGAAGTACAAGCACTCGTCTTGCAGCAGGTCCCTGCTCTGTGTAATAGGTACGTGTTCCCCAGTGTGCAATAATACATCATGGGGTTTGCGTAGCAGGCAAGTCAGCAGCCTTTCATTTGCAATTCATAGCAGCTCCCCCTGTGCTTCCTGGCTGTGGAGTAATAGACTCCTGTCAGTGATGAATCCCTGGGGTGTCCAAAGTGAATCCTCTCTCACGTCTGTATTGATTGGCCCCAGAGTCCTACCCAATTTACATTGACAACAGCATTTGGGCTCAAATGAAACTAAGCATGTTTTCCAAATTAGAAACTCGTGGGACGTGTCAACTCTGCAAACAGACCCTGACATTTGGATTGGATACCAGGGAGGGGACGCTGACTCTGCTACTTTTGTCCTGTTCGTTAAGGGATAGTGATCAAAGTGTTCTCTCTTTGATCACCTGATCTAGATAATTAGCGTGCACTGAAGCCAGGCAGGGTAACTGGTGCTTGTGCAACATCCCACAGCCGACCAAATTGGGATTCAAACCTGTGATAAAAAGATCAATCCTCTCTCCTGTTTTTGGTGTAAGTTTTCCTCCCACGGGTTCATAAAGAGGGAGGCTTGGTGTTTAAAACTGTGCCAAATGGCTGTGTGGACTGTGGCTGTGGTGACCCTGGATGAGGGACACGCTGAAAGTGATTCTTCTTCTTCAGATGAGGCTGATCTAATTATTTTGTTGATGCTGGCTTTGCAGTGTATGAGAGCTGACAGAACTGAAAGCTCAGGGAACTGGGAGCCAAAAGAGAGTCAGAGGTTGGGGTTTTGTACAGGTAAACAACACATCTTGAGAAATGTCAACGTTACACATATTCAAACGTCACACTTCATCTGTGACACACACACGCAAAGTGTTTGTATAAACACAAACACAAAACAATTTGTTTTCCTGTAGATTTGACTTAAAATTGAAGAACACTGAGTGTATTTCTGAATTTTGCAAATTGTCCTTTCTGAGTAAACACCACAGCTGGTGCAATCATGTATCTCTTAGACAGGCACTTTGCTTTTTTGCATAGTAATTTTTTTTTGAAAAATGGCAGTGTATGCAAAAATACTAAACACTTCCAGCAGATGATGGGAAAAATAACAGCCCTCAAGATTTCCTTAAAGCCAAATAAAACAGGCCTTGCTGCCACAGTGAGTTCACTCTACTGAGGAAACGGAAAACGCTCGATCACAGTGAAAAGGAATTAGTTTTCAAGCTGCCCACAAATCAGCCACAAAGCCCAAATTATGTAAGTCTGGTTTCAGTTCCACTTAGAACACAAGTGTATTTGTAAAATAAATTTATTATTTATTATTTAATATAATATATATACCATCATCTTGTTGGAGGGTCAGTGTTTGATGTTTAATACAGAAAAAAACTCCAGATATTGTAGTTTAACATTGTATAATACTGCAAGGCAAACAACTAGTAACTTTTTAATTAACAAACTAAAGCATTTCAACATAAGAAAGAAAAAAAATTACTACATATTGTAGTTTAACATTGTATAATACTACAAGGCAAACAACTAGTAACTTTTTATTTAACAAACTAAAGCATTTTAACATAAGAAAGAAAAAAAAAATTACTATGAAAATAAATGTAAACCACAAGGCCAAAAATTTTGACATTGAGATGCGGATCAGATGTAGCTCCTGGGGCAGGAATTCTAGAACACCAATTTATATAGTTATACATTTACTCCAAGCAGATAACAATACATTTCCCAATGAGTGAAATGTCATTTCTATTGGTTGAAAGTGGCGTTTATGTCTTTTTTTTAATTGACAAACGTGCTCTTTAAGGAGTGGTGTGTTTAAACAATATGTATTCAAACCTCCTCTTTCAGTACGAGTGAACCTCAGGCTTTATACCCTTGCGTGCTTGAATGTAAAAGGTCGTATTGCAAGCTACTGTACTTCAGAGTCAGAGGGAGAAGGGTAACTAAAAACCATTCAATGTGTCAATCATTGTATCCACCGCTGCTTTCTGGAGCCATCTCTACACTTTCACCGACTGCCAGCCACACCTTCCCTCCACACTGTAATTTAGAAACCATTAAAAAGTGGCCTTTTTTCTTTTCTTTTTTTTACCAAGAATAATACTGGCAGCATTAGCTTTTAGCGAGGACAACATTTATAAAACCACTTATCTACTAGCTCTCTGATCTAATTTTACGTTTCCTGAATTGTGTCTAATAGCTCCAATCAGTGCAGCAGTAGGGCTTCTCTGCTGCTGATGCTGCCGATGCTGATGCTGCTCATGATTTGCTATACAGCATGATTGCAAAAAGCATTTTAACACCTTTTGTGTTTTCGTGTCCCCTTAAACCAAACCCAATAAACTCAGAAGACATTGGAGTCACGTTTGATAAATGCCGCCCCTGTGATGTTTGCCACAATCTATCATAAAACTGACCCTTGTGAAAATACAAAGGTCCAGGAAGGAAGTGTGCTTCCTATTACATCTCTGTGTGTATATGCCTCTCAGCCCTGAGAAGGCGTTGATCCATACAAACCTTTTTTTTTTCTCATTTGCCCAGCAGCCCTAGCAGTTTCTTCCTGACAGCATGGCAACTCACGTTTCTGTCAAGAATATGTTAGAACCCTGGAGCTGTCAACCTTACAGTGCAGGACCAACTGAAACATGATGAAAAGCCAGGCTGGAGCCAAAGTTTTTCCACAGAAAAACACCAAGTTTCTATTTATATCCTGAGGGTACCTCAGTGTTTTGGAAAATGTTTTGTCGGTGTTGTTTCACATGTCCCCGCACAATACATACTAGTGCTCACACAAGGGTTTATTATAGTATAGTGTTATGGTAAATATTTTATCGGTTGCCCACTGACAAAGTGGTGCAGCTCCCACTCTCTAGTTTACTTTGCTCTACATGGGTCAAAATGTGGGCTGCAGGTGAGTTCACAGCTTACTGAGCTGTAAACTTTGTTAGAGAGAGTGTCGACCTTGTCCTCGCCAATGATCAGTATTTGCCCAACGTTCAATAGAAATGCAATTGATTTTTATCCCCACGTAGTTTTCAGTGAGAGCAGGGAGAGTTTTGATGCAAATATCCTTTTAGACTAGTATATTTCCACCACAGTCGTCTGGAGTTGTTTTCTACTCAGCACCACTAGTTCACCAATGCTTTTATGAGTCTCAAGATTTGTGCAAACAGTGATTCTATCATATGATCAATGTTTTTTTGTAGATTTTTGCAGGTTGTCCTGCATGTTTGCATTGTTTGATGATCGCAATGTTCCTTTTGTTTTGCTGGGGAAAAACACAGTTTCCTATTCAGGTTTTACTTTTATATATTTTTCTGATTTCAAAATGATTTTTTTTTAAGGTTTCAATTTAAAATAATTGAAATATGTCAATGACTGTGTTAACATTGCATGCTAAAGCTGCCAAAATGGGACCTTTTCTGACTATATAACCGATTCTGCAGTTATATAAAGATGTTTAAAGATGTATTTCCTCGTGCAGCACTGATGTTATAGAAGTAAACTTATATTTAAACATATATAAAGAATATAAGTGGTTCCTGGTTGCTGCAACTGATTGGAGCACAGGGTGACATGTGTGGCGTCCATATTCACTTCCGTAAACACAGCGTGCTGGGTGTGACGTCAGTTCTTGATATCCGTCAAATTTAACATAAGTAATAAAAATAACGCAAGAAAAAAAACTATGTCGAGCACTAAGACATGCAGTGTGAACGCAGTCCTAGAACTTTTTGACCTACTCTAGTGTATATGTGTATTTGGGAAACAAAAAAGATGGGAATTTGTGGGGCAAAAAAAAAAAACAAAAACCCCAGTGACGTTACCCTCCCATCACTACAGGATGGAACAGCTCGCTGTGAGCAGCTGCTTCAGAGACGCTTTCTCTCTGGCTGAGAAACTCCGCTCCAGCCTGGATCACATGACCTGACAGCGGTGCGCGGAGACGAGGCAGCGCCACGGTGCCACAGAACAGTCCACCACCTGATCCACGCCACCGTGGCTCTGCGCACACTTTCTTTCTACTTCACATCCTCAACTCTCGCTAGGTGAGTACGTCCTCACTGCTGTTTACAGAAGAATTATTCTCTTTTTTTGTTGTTGTTGTCTTTTCTTGTATTTCTTGGTGTGCAGACGCCGGAAGGATGCTTTTCTGTTTGTGATTCACGGATGTTGAGTGATGATGCGCGCAGCATCCTCTGAGAAACAGCCTTTAGAAACAGTGTTGGAGAACGTTCTTGGGATTTCTCCCTCTGTGTTCTTTTCCTCACCCGGTCAGCCGTGCCTCTCTGTTTTGTCTTATATTGACTCTGTCTTGTTGTTTTTAAATTGTGATTTCTCAGGTAGTGAAGATAACCGTTTTTGGAGGGGATTTGCTTGTGTATGGTTCTGAGAAAATAGATTGTTCTAGGTTCAGCCTTTCTCTGTGGTTCTCCACTTTAATGAGGGAACTCTCGGCCAAGAATGTTTAAAGTTGGATATTACTTGGAAAATGTTGAGCATATTTAGGAATAATCCATGAGAATGGTTTGGATGGTGTTTCCTACAAAGTTGACCTGAGGTCTGGGTTCGCAAGTTGTCAAGTTGTAAGGAGGTCTGTGACAACAGAAAAACAAAACACATCAGTGCCGAAAGAACCAGAGAGAGCAGTTCTAGTGTTGATCTTATTGTATTTGGTATTGATGACTGGAAGGCACATCTGAACGCTAAAAGAAAGATGGAAGGAATTGAACTTTAATTGATCATGCAGAGAGAGCAGTTCTAGTGTTGATCTTACTGTATTTGGTATTGATGTGTATTAGGACCCTGTGCAGAAACAAAGTGGAGTAAAATGGAGGACAATCTTCAGTTTGAGCATCATGGTGGGCCTGGTTTTAGTAATCTGTCTGGTACGAACCTAAGACTGTGGATCAAAAGTCCAGGGTAAACACACGTTAGATCCATGCTGGCTGTGGGAGTCAGCATCTCAGTGTGCGATCCCTGTTCATTTGTGTTTGGATGAGCTGATTGCTCAATTTATTCAAGTCATTATTTGTACACAGACGCAGCTGCACACAACAATCCCAGCAGCATGCAAAGCTTAATGTAATGTTTTCAGTTAAATGGCTTTTTTGGTCATGTACTACAAATGTTTGTAGTTTTTTTTAAAACCTGTGATGAGACAAAAGCTCCTTTCAGAACCTCCAAAGACAGGTGAAATTGTCTGACAGTTATTTCAGCCTTCAAACTCTGCTGGTCAGAGAACAGGTGTGGGAAGCCAAGCATGAAATGTGCTGCTTTACTCAAACAATGCTTATCTCTCTCTGGGGATGAGGTGGGAGGATGACTGAAATCACCAGCCTATATATGAGCATGCACAGAATCACTAAGAGTCTGGAGAGGAGAAGTGAGAAGTCGGGTTTGGCCAGACTTTTATGACCCAGTGTCCTGTGAGCCCTGCAGTCCTGGATGGGGATGATAACTGACCCGTTTCATGATTGTTTCATGATCATCGTGTTGCCTTCAAGAACCACAGAAACCACATTTGGAGGTTACTATTATAGATAACAAAAATTACAGTCAGTCATAATCACATATGCAAAGAGTTGTACAAACCAACTATTATTTATTGGACAAAATGAACAGAAATGACCTCCCTGTCCAACTTAAAGTATCTGAAAGTGAAATATTTATTTATATTGGAATGAAAATATAGTATAGAGTATACTTGCAATGTGTAACTTGGCAAAATTTTTTTTTAGATTATATGTATATTTTTCCCAGATTACAGTGTTTCTGAGAGTGTACGGTGTCAATCAAGTTGAAATAATTGCCCAGCTCTATCTTAGGTTTCCCACAATCCAGTTGGACACTTTATTGACCGTAGATTTGAATCCGAATGATTGTTTGTTTGATTGTTTGGTTTGTACATACGCTCTCCACTTAACAAAACTGTAGCTCTTTGTTACACCACGTCTGTGTCCCTGAACTGATGAAACACTCTGGGCTTCTGCAGTGACGGGGCATCGACAGATTTGGTGAACAGCTGTATATGTATGCACCTGATGCTCAGTTGTGTGCTGACTTGTGCCATTTGCCCAGGAGCGTCAGTCTCTCAGCACCACGGCCAGCTCCTTTTATTTGCTATTCGAAGAGATAGTGGTTGATTTCAGAAGCATGGCCATCTGCCAGCACTTTATTACTCTGGCAGCTGGAGCGGGACCATTCCTGCGTGCCAGTGTCTCTCCTCACTAACCCTTGCCCTCTCCACCATACAGCGCTTATTCTTAGCTATTTGAGGCCCGGCAGGCTGCAGAAGAAGCTTTTACTGCCTGTTAAGTAGACAATGAGAATATAGTTTTTTTTTTCTTAAAGCCTAAAAATGACAAAACAACCCAACAACTACTACTACTTCATCTTTATTTATTTTTTTTTTAATTTAGTCTTGTGAATTATGAATTATGACTGCTTTATTATTGATGCAAAAACTGACCACAGATTGAGATTATATCTCTCGGGTGCAGCAAAAACAACATAATAAACCATTGCTGCAGTGATTGGTCTGTTAATCAATAACTAATCAACTACTGAATTATTGATTGATACATTTGGTTGAAAATGCACTTCCAAGTTTTGTAATATACTTCTGTCTCAACAGATTTAAGATGATATCTAAAAGCCTTACTGGGGACAGGATTTTTCAAGTTATTGACATATATATCAACATATGTGATTAGGATCATAACGCATTATATTGCACGTGTTACTTTTTTACTTGATTGTACCTAATGTAATCCTAATTTAATGCCGTGTTATCTACATATTTTCCTTTCCTCTCATTTCAATTTCTACACACTTCACTGGTAATGACAACACAAATACATTTTCTCCTGAAATTAAAAAAAAAAGCTGCAGTCATTTTAAAATATTCATTGTAAAAACTCCCTGCCAAAGAATTCACCTCTGCTCCATACATATCTTTACTCCAGAGGATCAAACCTGCAAGTTGCGTAATTGCTCCTCCACACATTTGTGGCCTATTCGACCCGGGCCATTAAATCCTGCCCCAAAACATTAACTCGGTATGTCACCTGAGTCTGCTGGCTGCTGCTGCTGGTGCCGCCGTACAAAACAGAAACATATTTCGTTATCTGCTAATTACTTACAGCATTAGTGACCTGGATACTTTAGCCTGGTGGAACCGTAGCAGTTTGTAAGACTCACTAGGGGGGGATTAAGGAAATGGAGAAAAAAGGTTTTGCCAAGAGAGATGGTGGAGAGCAGCATATGTTCACATGCTGAATCCAGGGTTGAGAATTCCCCCAGCTGTAACAGCAGCTGCAAACATTTTACTCCAACACCTTTAAACAGAAAAATGACAACAAACCATGATTTTTAGCATTAGTTTGTGGAAATCTCTCAAAATATATAATGCATTCTAAATGTGATTCTTCTTGGCAATGGAACAAAGGGTTGTTTTAATCACTGAAAGGTGAAAGGTGAAGTTTTAGGAGAGAGCAACATGAGCGGTTTCATCAACAGCATCTATAAATGTGCTAAATGTTAATAATATAACCACTAATAAGAGTAACTACAGAATAGGGTTTCCATCTGGTGCACAGTTTTTCTGCAGTGACCGGAAGATGTGGAATCAGAGAAAGGGGCAAGAATGAAATTATTTTTGTATAATGTAGCGTGCCTATATATATGTTTACGTGGCTATATATTTTGCAGTATATAACGTATGGGGTCACTGCTCCATCTCTTTGGAAGTTCTTTGCCTGAAAAACATAACTTCAGAAGATTAAGGGGATCACTTATATTTTATATACTGTACCTTTAAGAATAGCCCCACGTACTGTACCTTTTAATTTGTAAAAGTCATTAAAAGTTTCTCTGTTAACCATTATTCACAAGCCAACTTTGAGGTGAAAGTTTGAGTGTACTACACCACTGGCCTTTAAGATTCACTGTTTGATAAGAGTAAAGAGTGCACACCTGTCCTGATCCCAGAGATTATAATCTCTGTTATTAATATAAAAGACTGGATAAAATCTATTCTGGTAGTTATGGTTTCAGTCCTGCTCACAGTACAGGTCACACTGAGCCTTTATCTCACTGCTGTCATCACTGTTACAGACTAGAGCTTGCTTATATCAGATGGTGGTAAAACTTATGTGGTAGTCTGCCCTCAGTCTTCATGCCTTGGACGGCATTTATACATTTACACAAAGGAGGAAGAGGAGTTAGCATGAACCAGACTGTGGTTTTTTACACTCCTTTTTAGTTCAAAAAGTTTGTTAATTAAGTGTAGGAACTTTTTTTTTTAGGGTATATGAAAAGCATTAAGTTTAATCCTTAATAATCTGTTTTCCTTCTTCTGCATGTCCGAGGTCAGGTTTACGCTTCTTAAAGATTATTGGCATTACAAATGTCTTTGTCGACATTCTTTCCTTTCTTCTCACTTCCTTTTATTCCCTTCTCCAAACTCCATATCTTTGTCGTTCTCCTTTTGTTGCTGCCAGCCTCCTCTTCTCCCTGTTCCATTCAAACTGGTGACAGGTGTTATCTAGGAGGTAATGGGGTGTTGGAGCAGAGGAAAAATAGGAATGGTGCCTGACAGCCACACTGCCTTGTTAAGCTCCGTGGCAAAAATACATTACATTTCCAGGAGCACAGTAAAAGCACTCAGCTGATTATTACATGTGGGCTACAACAGGCCGTGCTCCGTCCTGCCTGTACTGTTAGCTTGTATTTACTGTACAGTCCTGCTGGAGAGATTAGACTCCAGCGCGCCTCTGGGCCTGCAGCTAAATGGCCCTGTGTGAACCTCTATTCATTTAGACTTTAATTGTTAATTGAGGCCGTTTAATGATTCATCAGGTGCGGCTGGGGATGGGGCATTA